TGACACAGCTTCGCTGGACATTCACTTTCACAAGGCAGGAGGGTGGTCTCTCTCTCTCTCTTTTTTTTTTCCTGCAACACGTACCCATGCATCGACATCTCGCAGCCTTGACAGAAGCTGTCCTAGAAACACAATGGTTGCCTAATCCCCGTTCCTTCGGTATTTCGTCTGGTCGTACGCACGGAAACCCCTTGGCCAGTGAATACTATTGACGTGTCTTTCCACGACCGCATACGCGTCACTTGGCGCGATAGTTATTTCTTGATATTCTGCAATATATCAGCGCGACAAAGCGAACATGAGTATGCTCGTATGCCACGCTCTGTGGACACATTTTGAACTCGTTCGCTTATAATCACACTGACCGCAACGCACTTGATCAATAAGTGGAACGATATCGCCCTAATCTGGGGGTTAAGAGTCGAACAAGGGATCCACGCTGTGTCGACGCTGTATACGTACTAAAATCACCCCCTACACGAGTTGCGTGCAACGCAGGCCATACACGTATACACAGTGACAATATTCGAACGGTGGCCACATCGCTGCGAACGGCAGCGTCCGCTCGTTTCGCGTCCCGTAGGCGCGGAAGAGACGTGCGACATTCCCGGCGGTCGTAAAGCCGCCCGTCGCCTCCGAGCGGCGCGTCAGCAGTCCGGCTGGCCGCCCTCTCGGCCCGCGTCACCGATAATCGGCCGCCGATGCTTGCATCACTGCCGCTGCTGTAGAAGGAGCCGTGGGCGTCGGACAAGCTTCGGCCCCTGGTCGTAAAGATAGCGGACCCTAAAGTGGCCCCGTGTCTCCGCCGCCCCCCAAAAATACGTGGCGGCCATGCAAAAGAGTGCCCTCCGCGATGGTATGCTGCCGGGTACCTAGGTGGCGCAGCGCGGAGGAATGTCCGCGGGACGTCGTCTGGTGGTCCTCCGGCCGTGGCCACGTTAGCCGTACGGTCGCGCAGGACACGGTGCATACCGTGCCACGCTCGGTCCGTGGACCGAAAGCGAGATAGGACGTTCGTCTTACAGAGGGGAGGAGTGCCTGGGCTAATTTTTTTTTTAGCTGGAGATTCGGCCGTATAGCGTGAGAAAACACGGATAAAAGAGTCTGTAAGCACCCAAACGAGCGCTACAGTGGCGCGACCTACGGAAGGAATGTCGGCTATTTATATATTTTTTCAGATGGTCAAGCAGAGGATGAGTGTCAAGTGAAGGAAGAATACACGTGGGCTCCATAGGTATACTTGAATATGTGCGGATAAAAGTAACACCATTTTCCGACTCGTGCGCACCAATTCGTACAAAACTATCAGCACCGTGCTGAGTGTGCATATAGTCCAGTAGATTGCGTTCCAAGCTCTTCTTAACTATTTCGTAACCACGCAAAAAATATAATTATTTTTCATATGTCTCAGGAAGAGTTTTCGCAGTTTAAAGAGTACTCCAGGACGCATTGCAGCATGCCAAATTTTGCACAAGGAAATGCTCTCTAAAAATATATATATCGTATAGAGCAAAAAAAATGGAATGGATAAAAATGTGAAAATTGTGTAATTTTAGTCGCCAGCTGGTAAACAGTGCAATATAAAGTGCCGCCATATCCACGAAGTGAATGATGATGAGTGGGCGAAGCTCTGGAGGAAAACCTGGTAAACCATGAATCTTCCGTACATTTTGCCTACTCGATTTTATTACAATGCTCCCCCTAGCGTACGTCGCCGCACTAAATCGAACGATTGCCTTCCACCAATAACACGTGCCATATGTGACATCATTCTTATTTTATAACATCTCGCATCTTTCATCATGAACTACAAGTACCGCCGTCTAGTTTATAACATCTTGCATCTTTTCATCATCAGCTACAAGTCCCGCCATCTAGTGAGCACTGAAAGAACTAAACCAGAGGTGGCTACATGGATGGATGGATGGATATGGCTGTACCCTTTAGATCGGGCGGTGGCTAGCGCCACCAAGCCGTAATATCTAATGAACCAAAAACTATATTTAGTTTTCTTTTTCCTTAAAAAAGAGTTTGAGGATTCGTACTTTGCAGTGAAGAGTTTAATTTTCACTCGCGCCTTGACTTTAGCCACCAATCAGATAACCTCCTTCTAGTGAAGTCTACCCGCTTAAAGTTTATTTTGCCCTCCCGGTCCCTAAACCCCAGTGCTTTGAAAAACTCTGCGCCATCATCCTGAATTATAGGGTGAAGCCCTTTGCAGAACATTATCAAGTGTTCGGCAGTTTCTTCTTCCTCTCCACACGCACTGCATACTGTGTATACCCCTTCGTATTTGGCCCGATATGTCTTGGTTCGCAGTACTCCCGTTCTAGCCTCAAACAGTAGAGAACTACCCCGAGTATTATCATAGATCCTTTCCTTGGCAATTTCCTGCTTAAACGTTCGATAGACCTCTAGTGCGGACTTCTTAATCATGCCCATTCTCCACATGTCAGTCTCCGTTTCCTTCACTTTCTTCTTAACCGATAGTTCTTTTTGGTTTGGCCACCTGCTGTTTTCTAAGTATTTACCAGTCAACTTCCTGGTTCGCTTCCTCCAATTTGTATCGACATTCTTCATGTACAAGTAGCTGAAAACCTTCCTAGCCCAACGCTCTTCCCCCATTTCTCTCAATCGCTTCTCAAATTTTATCTTGCTGCTAGCTTCCCTGCCCTCAAACATGCAGGAGACGGAGCCGCCATCTAGTGAACACTGCAAGAACTAAACGAGAAGAGGCGACATACAGGAGACGGTACCGCCATCTAGTGGACACTGCAAGAACTAAACGAGAGGTGGCTACATACAGGCTACAGGGGACGCACAGCCCACGCCCTAAGGAGCTTCGCCCCTAAAACACTATATATGCAAAAAAAAAAGCGATACGAAGAAGATCCAGAATATGCATTTTGAAGATAAATGATCCAGGAACAGTATGAAAATGATAAAATTTGTACAAAATGTTGATATTTACATAGACAATCGGAACTAAAGTGCTGCTTCATTGCTCGTGTCATGCGGTGAAGCATTGTTCGGTTTTTCATGACACGAGTGACTCGTACACTTTCCTCATCAAATTTAATATTTTTTTTTTGCGATAAGAGCCGGCAGGTGTTCCAATATAGATGGATGCCCACGATGTGAATAATTTTCTCTACGAATCATACGTCCAACGGACCTCGATATTTCGTCTATAGCATCGCCTCTTTCCATGAGCGACCTCAGTCTGCATAGTTTGGCGTTTCAATATATGCACCGAAGCATTTTTTTTTGCATTTTGCACGTTGCATTCAAAAAAAGAAAATAACTTTATCATGCGATCATTTAATTTCTCGTGCTGCTTCGTAGTCAGAACCAAGATGTTCTCCGGTGGCCTTCGCATTGTGAGGAGAATCTCTGCGGCTGGCGCCAGGACTCCGCGCCCCAACTGACAACGTGTGGACTATCGCACCGAACCAGATCAGCTCTAAGAGAGAGATAAAGATGCAAGGAAAGGCAGGGAGGTTAACCAGACGCACATCCGGTTTGCTACCCTGCACTGGGGAAGGGATAAAGGGGAGAAAAGAGGTTGCAGAAAGATGAGAAGGTACACACCAGATCAGCTCTAAGATTGTGCACAAAGGTCAGGAGCTACGCACTTGCAGGGGAGGAGACAGCTTGAGGCCGTAAACAAAACAAACCCACGAACGGATCTGAATGTCTCAGGCTGATGCAAAATGTCGTCGCCGTAAAGCTTTGAAGCTGAGGTGCTGTCATCCTCGGACTCGGCTCGTCCTCGCTCAATTCAGGTGCGGTTTCAAGACATTGTCGAGTGGCGCGTGTTCTTTTGCAACGCAGGTGCGCACCCATGCGCGTGTTACGAGGACGCCACAGGTGCTACGCTTAGAGACATTCAGTGAACTTCGTTATTAGACACTTCTAAGCGATAAGGAGTAGCCGGTGCCCTATTCGGTGCGCCACCATCTCTTCACATCACATCAATAAACAAAAAAAAGCGAGTAGTGACATTAGATGTGCCCCTGTGTCTGATATAACGATACAGGCGAAACCAAAGCTGCTCGAAACAGGCTAACAAGGCCACCTTCACACTTTCTACAAGCGGCGGACCATCGAAAATGTGTTTTTTTTTGTAGAATAAATTTTCCCTGACTTCTAGCAATAGCTGTTTATTGAAAAGCTGGCATAAATATCTGACAGTTATTACTGCTCAACACTGTCAGGTTGCGAAGCAGACACCATGATTTGATGTTTGACTTGCAATGGTTCTATTGATTACATAACTTTGATGTTACTGTTGCATAAACACGAGGGGCGCGCACTTCTGTCAAGTTCGTCAGCCAAGTGCATTTTCCCCAACAAAACACGCACATTGATTAGCACAAATGTCTGTAAAAAATCACCATGTTGCCAAAACGGGAACACTTCAAACTGAATCTTGAAAGTTGAGTGGTTGGACTAAGTATACTAGGAATGTGCCTGGGAGTTAGGAACGAATTCGAACATGCCGAAATCGACGATTAGAAGCGTCGATAACTGGTGATTGATTTGAATAAGCGGTATAATGAAAGAGTTAATCTGGTTTGAGGAGCGTATAAAGGTGCAATTCGTGAGCTCCGTATTACGCTGGACGCATTGCATATGTCACGTGGTACAGAGGCAATAAAGTTGTGACTATACAAGACTTTACTGGTAAATCCCGTCTAATCTCGTCTAATCCCTTCCTCATTCATGCATTGACATCTTTACCTTTAATCCTCAAGAATGCGTTCGAGGCAAGTGTCTTGACCTTCGTACTTCCGAGTTATGCACACACGACTATACTGCATCGAAACGTAGCACTGTATACGCTAAGTGCACCGCTAAATTGACCCTTCTGTCTAAAAATAAAGGTAAAAGCAACAAGGAAGGGAACGAAGCCTGCACAATATCCATGCCTGCTTTCCTCGTCGACGTAACTAAAAAAAAATTCTATATACAATACAAAGGCGTGCGTGTGTACTCACTGACGTTGAGCACCCCTCCGAAGACGGAGGGTATGTTGTGGAAGGTCGTGCAATTCCAGCGACTGGCCCTGAATTGGAACTGGCACTCGTCGATGCCCAGCTTGGCGCCGCGGCTCACCGTTTGCAGCGCGCGGTGGCTGAGTACGCACAGGTCCCGGTTCTCCTTCACCTGGTAGCGGAGCTTGTGGCAGTTCTCCGAGTGCGCCGACGCCTTCAGCGTCAGCATGTTTTGGTACGTGCTCGGCATGCCCAGCAGCCTGCGACATTAGACATCCTCGTGTCAGTTTCGGCACTTGATAACAAATTATACTGTTTGACGCATACTGAATCTGCATGTTGGGCTGACGAATATCGTACAGCGGAAGGCTTTGCATTTTTAACTTTCATAGCTTGCCCCGCCGTGGTGGTCTAGTGGCTAAGGTACTCTGCAGCTGACCCGCCGGTCGCGGGATTGAATCCCGGCTGCGGCGGCTGCATTTTCGATGGAGGCGAAGATGCTGCAGGCCCGTGTGCTCAGATTTGGGTGCACGTTAAGGAACCCCAGGTGGTCGAAATTTCCGGAGCTCTCCACTACGGCGTCTCTCATAATCATATGGTGGTTTCGTGACGTTAAACCCCACATATCAATGAATAAACTTTCATAGCATGACGTTCCTTAACGAGCAGTTGTGGTGGCTCAGCCAGTCGCCACGGCCGGGAACCGAACTAGCGATGTCGCGGGTTTGAATCCCAGCCGTGACGGTAGATTAATCCGACGTAAAACGAAAGAGGACAATGCTCGGCTACACACAAGCGCGGGACTTGTTGTAAATGAATCAATTTCGATGATGAGTTCAGGCTTTTTTTTTTCAATTCGTTCAAAGGACTCCGGTTAAATCATTCTCGTCTTTGAAAGGGGAAACTGGCAACTTTCCGCCACCCTGGGGGATGCCGCAAAACTCAATTTCATTCTCGTTCTCCAAGAGAAAAATTTTCATTTGTTCTCAGTCAAATACGAACCAGAATAAGAACGGCAACGAGAAAAATGTATTGAACATACAAATAAACACACGGTTATCCAAAAGGACCTGTTTTTGGGTGAATTAGTGCTTATTTGGTGCAGATGATTGAGGCGCAAAAAGTATGCTTATCTTTAGGCGCAGCCGAAATGATGGCTTGCTACCATTGTAGCTTTTGTAGAAACCCATTCAACTTACTACAGCTGTGTTCTTTTCCCAAGCATAAAAACTAACGGCTCTTGGTCTTAAAAACAGGTAATTCCGTGCACCATAAATTCTCCAGTGCTACCGAAGCCCCCAAAATACTAGTGGAACACGCTGTCCCGCCACAGCCGTCTTTAGGCTGTCGCGTTGCCAAGTTATACAACACTGAGTCTCCGCCAGAATGCCTTCTGCGTCGTTATCCTGTCAGCATGTTTCGCCGTTTCGGCATTCGAGCGGCGACAAGTTAGTGCAGTATATACCAGGGCCATTGAAACAGCTGTAGCCAGAGCCCCATTGTTGTCACCAGCTGACGATGTGATCTTAGCTTCTTTTGTTTTCTTTTTTTTTTTGCTAAGGGCGTTTGCTTTCGCCACCACATTCTTGTGACCTCGCAAGGGCTTTTCTCCAGCTTCTGTAGTGCAGGCGTGACTTCCCCGCTCGACTTATGGTACGCTCGGTCCCCCGGCCGGAGGATAAATACGCTCACATTACCGCGCGCGTACTCCTAAAAGGGAAACGCAACCAAGGCACCAGCCATGTCGAGGAGGAATGAAGGGGAAAGCGGAGCGAATTCACAAATCGCCGAACATAAATCTCTGCGTGTTTTTCTCCTCCTGGAGGCACAAAAAACTTTGGCGAACGGGTCGGCCCTTTGTTTTCTGCCGGTCGACTAAGGAAAAAGAGAAAGAAATTAAGAGAAAAATATGGGTCCCCACGAGGGGTGCTTCCTTTCGACACGGTCCGCACTTTGATAACGCCGCGCAGAAAATGGTCGAGGTTAAAAATACAACTGGGCTCGGGAGTCCTATGTTTCCGAAGCACCACGAGAGAAGGCTCGCATGGAAAGACGCGCGCCTATGTCGAACATTCGGTTTCTTGCTTCTTACGAAGTGCTTTGATGTTTCGAGGTTAAATTTGGAGCGTTATATCGCGGCAAAGGTTTAACTTAATATTTAGTGGCGAATGATAGTTATTAGGAAGGGCGACGATTGCAGACATCACCATTTTTTTTCGTAAAATCTGGCAACGCGTTGTCTTACAGAGAGAGGGAGAGATAGATTGAGATCGCAGCCGTGAAGCTTTCACTCAAGGCTAATAATTCTTTGTATTGCGACATAGAATCGCCTTTAAGGCATGATACTTAGTGCGAGAAAAAAATGTTTTGAGAAAATTACCGAGATGAGGTGAAAACGATTGCCACGCGGAGATATCAGGGCCGACTTTGATAACCGACTTTGATAATCCAAAGAGTTAGACAAATGTTGAAGGCTGCTCAAATATAAGCTTTAACAGCACAAGAAAAAGCAGTATACTTTGTCGGCATGGGAACCACAATTATACGAACGGCAGTGAAGATCGCAACAATGACGCAGGCACGACACAATGCACTTGCCGGTTTTAAAGGATCGACAGAGCCAAGATGGTGACAAATGAGAGAAGACGATAAAGTCTGACTAGGACGACATGTTGGCGAAATGACAGTAATAGAGGCCCATGCGTCAGATCGCAATATGAACCAGAAAGCACGGGAAGAGCGTTATCTCACAGCTGAAAGATTGATTCTGAAACGCGCGCACACGCACACACACACACGCACGCACACACACACGCGCACACACACACGCACACACACACACACACACACACACACACACACGCACGCACGCACGCACGCGCACACGCACAGACACAGACACAGACAGAGAGAGAGAGAGAGAGAGGAGAGAGACCACAATTATGAACAAAACCAAGTACAGCAGGTCATGCACAAAAGTCCGAAAATCCTACATGCCACTTTACACTAAATGTTCCAAGGTGGCACGGGAGCTCCTTGATGGTTAATAATAGCGACACGTGACTAACGCATACATCTCCCGCTCTTTGACCATGAAAGGCTTCGGTTATTTCAAGAGTTACTTGACAACTAGGGATAGTATCTCCGCATCTACAAATACCAGAGCGCAGCCACATGTATTGCAAAGCGATGCAAAAAAATGATACTTGGCAACGCCTTACCGGAGAGAAGGTTGTAACGAACACTGCTAGGATACCTGCGGAGGACGGCCACAACATTCGGCAACCGCTATAGTACTGCTTCTGATCAAAACAACGGTGAATCGACTAATGACATCTAATTTATGAAGAGTTTTGGTACCAACCGGTGTAACTTAGTTGATAAATACAAAGGCGTTCGCACGCTCTGATTCCCCCAGACAAGACGGCGCGGTTCAAGCACCAAGTACTCGAGGATTCTTTGTGAAACCGTCTCGCTGCCGACCAAGGAAGCCGATATTTCCAAGCGCGACGCACAAGCTGCTCTTTGTCCTCGTTACGCCCTCATACCGCGCAATATTGTTACCGTCTACTGCTTTTATGGTCGCCTTCTGTCATCACTTTAAGTTCTTTACTATTTTTTTTTGTCGACCGTCCCTCTGCTCCCGTTTACGCTGTGATGGCCTCCATCCTTTCTCCCATGCGTTAATCCAATTGGCCGTGATCGCATTTTGCGCTCCGTGTAGTAACGCGGTTACAAAAGGAAAAGAGAGAGAGAGAGCACAGGGAGACGTGGTGACCCCGGCGTTGCGTTCACTGACGCTGGGGCGGAAAGGAGAAAAGGAAATATAGAATAGATAATAGGAAACAGGGAGTGTTCGTGCAGGAGTCGTCGAAGATTACACGGTCCTTTCCCGTCGTCCTCCGCTTTCCTTTATTTTACACTGGCGACGCAGAGGCTGAACGCTATGCTCAATGCCAAAAAGCCAAGCGATCCGCGTCACAAAACAGCTCACGGTTCCCTTAGCCCACACCGCGAAGACGAAACGCTCTCACTTTCCGTCGAAGACGAAACGCGATTTGAGTGGATCGCGGAAGTTGCTCTTTGCCGCATGGCAGCCGCGCGCTGCGGTTTAGCGGGCTTTGCCAAAATCTGGTCAGCGGCTGCTCGCGGTTTGCTGTGGGCGCGATTTTAGGGCTTTGTGGCTTCTTTTGTTTTGAAGCTATCATGGCACTACAAAACACCTAGTGTACCATTCTTTTGGTCGTGTAGTGATAGCGCGCTTTGTAAAGTATGACGTATCTGTGATGTCTTCTGCCAACCCCTCTTTTTTTCCCCTCTCCTTTGACCGGAATGAAAAAGGTGTGCTCTTTGTACAGCGTCAGTTTCATCCGATTTCTGATCTTTCTCCGGTGCGAACACATGAATTAACTTTCTTTTTGGCCTCTTTGTGCTTCCAGCAATTATTGAATTCCTCTCTTTGTATGTCTAAGGAGTAGGTGCACGTGCTGGTGAAGATATTGAGAAGACGCCGTACCTCTTCACTTGGCTTCTTTGGAGAGCCTAATCAATTCTACTGCCGCAGCTCACCAGCTCAAGTTATAAGCACAAGCTTTGATTGATAGAAAGGGCCAGAGAGAGAGAGAGAGAGAGAGAATAAATTAGAGAAAGACAGGGAGGTTAACCATAAATTGGAGCATCGGTTTGCTACCCTGCACTAAGGGGAAGGGGGACGCGGAAGAAAGATGAGAGAGCTAAATATACGCGCGAAAGAGAAAAAAAAGTAAGCTGGGGTACTATAGCCTATTCAATAGGCCACTACCACGCAAAAAGTTCATTAAGCCATCGGCCATACCACGCTGAATGTGCCGGTTCTCGTCCGATCACCAGAAAGAACCAGCTTTCGTGAAAAAGGCCAGGGGATCCTGAACTAACCCTTGGGAGTAGGACTTTAGTTTGTCCGTCTTTACTAAAGCTTACTTCCCTCCCTCGTCTGAATAATTCTCCCTTTCAGACTTCAGGAGACAGAGAACAAGAATAGAAAGAAGACAGGGAGGTTCACCAGGATCGGGCCCGGTAGGCTACAAAGCTGAAACATCGGCAGGAACTTACGACTCCCTCTCGAAGTTAAGAGTAACAGGACGAATATTTTCCGAAAGAAGAAGAAGACAAAAAAGAGACGTGGATGTGAACAGCGAATAAACAGTAAAGTGCAGGTGGTCGGTGATTACGCACCGGCATTGCACAGTTAGCGGAGCAGCCGACAGCTATGGACCACCAC